AGACCAACTGGGAAAAGCAATGCACGGTCACACCTAATTGGAAGACAGCAATGACACAGAGACCCGCCAGTCTTATGGCCACCAGACTGAGCGACCTTCCTGAGTCGAGACGGAACACAGCGTCTCAGGCTGCCCGGTACCTGCAACGTCACCCGTGCATTAAATGATGTGGAAAGGAGCAGAATACCCTTGGCTGCAGCTTCCTGAAGACACAGGAAACCTTACACAGAGGGAGTTGGGCATTGCTATCCACTCCCAGCTGATTTAATCTGAAATTCCTGGGGACGCATCCTGGAGAAGGAGAATTACATTCAAGGAACTCTATCCCAGGAAATCCCTTTGAGAAAACTTCCACCATCGCCCACCCCTGGGCTCCTGAATGGATAAACTTAAGCAGTATTTCATTATTTCAGTCCACGTTGCTAACAAACAAGACTGGAAGCAGGTCTGGTCCCACCAACATTTCTGCTGTTGGCAACGCTGTGGGTTAACCCGGCAGGCAGCCACCACGCATTCGCTCGCTCCCCCCCGCCAGCGGGATGGGGGAGAGAGTCAGGGGGGAAGCAAAACTCATGGGTTGAGATAAAGACAGTTTACTAGGACAGGAAAGAAGGAAAACCCCAAAAGAATACACGAAGTAAGTGATGTACAATGCAATTGCTCACTGCCCATCAAACGACACCCAGCTGGCTCCCCAGCTGTGGTCAATGCCCCTGGCCAACCCCCCCAGTTTCTATACTGGGCATGACAACATATGGGCTGGAATAGCCCTTTGGGCAGCGGGGGGCAGCTCCCGGCCGTGCCCCCTCCCAGCTCCTTGCGCCCTGGCAGAGCAGGGGAAGCCAAAAAGTCCTTGACCAGTGCAAGCCCTGCTCAGCAACAACTGAAACATCGCGTTGTCAACATTATCCTCAAGCCAAATCCAAACCACAGCGCGCTGCCACCTGCTAGGAAGAAAATTACCTCTGCGACAGCCAAACCAGGGCAATCCTGCAAGAAATGTGCCTGAAATGGGCTGACCCTACAGCAAGAGGCAGCAGTGAGTACTGGCATCTGCACTTTACAATTCTACTCCACAGTCCTGTAAAATTTTAAGTCAAGGTGCCACCACTGCGTGCCTACATCTTAGAGCCCTGGGCAGCCGCTGTTCACACGTCAGTTCAGAGTTATTAGTACAGTGCATTATATATAGTTATTGCATATTATACCTTATAGTTATTGCATATTATACCTTATAGTTATTGCATATTATACCTTGTATTTACCAAAACACACTTTGTTTTCTGCCTCAGTCTTGATTTTCTGACCAGGGACGACATTGCTAGCCAGGAAGGCGGAGCGTGCTTCAGTCGGATGCAGGTCCCACGGGGTACAGAAGCTGTTAAGCCAACCAGGAGGAAGGGGAGAGGAGGGACACAAGTGAAGAAACACATGCGTGACTGCCACAGCTTTTAGGAACAAAATTTATTCCAATTTCAAACAGAATTTATTTCAGGAGAAAGATATGAAAATCAATTCCCATCAGATATTTCTGTAATAATGGTTGTTGCCCAGCAGTCGGAGTGGGATCATTCCAAGAAACAATCACACTCCCGGACTGGAATGAGACAGTTTGGAGCCTGAATAGATCCGGACACTGGGCATCTTATTCAGAAACTCCTTTACCCTACCCTCCTCCCTCCCCCCACCCCAACACGCACAACAATACATGCATTGCAAATGACAAGGTTTAAAAACAGCATTTTATATAGTATCTTTTTAAATAGGATAATGTTTAAATTGTCTTAAATCAGGATCCTATAATATACAAGTATAACCAAATAATTTCCACCACATTGGCACTTGTAAAGAGTCTCTGGCACTACTAAAGAAGGGGCATTGGCACAAACCATACTCTTATGAAACTGGGTGCTGCATAACACACTTTATCTCTGCTGGACTCTACGACCCGGGCTCTGTACAGTACAATACAATGGTCAGCACACTCCGGAAGTACTTTTTTTTTTTTTTTTTTTTAAAACACATGAAGAAAAACCATAGTTGAATGCAAGGCCAACATTGCTAGGAAGCAACAACAAGAGACCAAAGAATCCAGCTCCGGGAGAAGGGGAGACAGGCAGAAGGGGCGGGAGCTATCCGACACGCTGAAGCAGTAAGGGGCTGTTGCTCACCAGGCAGCCAATCCACACAGAATGGTGCAAAGAAATGGGATGGTCCTCTCCTCACTGACTTCAAGTTTCAAACTGGTTCAAAATACGTTGGTTTCTTCAGCAGAACAAAGCTAAAAAGCGCACAAGGAGCAGAGGTTTGCCAAGATACCACTTCCTCAGACTCAAGATTCTAGATTCTCTACAAGAACCCAATTCCACCTGACAGTCAATCTGTTGTCTCAACCTGCAGAAAGTTCTGACTGGCCTCACTCTCAGAAAAGAGGATATAGGCAAATTTGGTTTAAGGTTTGGCACTTTTGCTAGGGCAGGCATCTCCCAAAGGGCCAGCCAACAGAGACATGAACCAGTTCTGCAGGAACACTTCACTGGCCAAGCTGGAGGCCCCCAAGCTAGTGCTGGCTAGGAAAAGCATGTGCTAACACTGGCATCTTCTCACATATAACGTAGTCCACAGACAACTCCAGAATACGTGTACGAGTCTGGCCCATTCCTCCCCTAATGCAGAATGAGGTTTTGGGAACTCATGAGACAGCCATCGCATAAAGTTCTCCCCTTCCCTTTGCAATAATCATCACATCAAGTCAGTTATCAGGCCAACAGCTACCCTAAGCAGTTGCTCGGTAAGGTACGGCACATGCCTAAATCCTTGTGCCCACAGCCTCCCACAGTTCCCCACGACAGCGCAGATTCACTCTGCAAGAGACAGGAGCCGAGATCCCTCCTCCTGTGCCAGGGCAGCAGCTCTTGAAGAAGGGGAGGATACAAAACAAAACAAAAGTTTCTGATTCAAGTGGAATTACCACCATCATTCACCTTGGAAAAGAAACTTCAGGGAAGTTATCTCCAAGAACCTGTATATCTCAGCGCCAGGTTCGTCGCTGGCAATAGTTGTAGTGTGAACCATTTACAAGAGGATCACAGAAGCAGAAGAGGCTGGTGCTGCCGCCTGCTTCAGATGAACAGCACTTAGAATACACGAAGATGATTATAAATTCCTCGTTATAGGACAGTTTCTACAAAATGGATCATTTTGGCATAAAGACAAAAAAAGCAGTAAAATTGATACAAAGCTGTCTGACACATGGGAATCCCTCTCATTCCTCCCAAGCGTTAAATGCAGTCCAGAGCATGGCTAGTCTACAGAGATGCTGCGTTTCCCTCAGCATCACCACTCAGCCAGGCTGGCTCTTCAACTGTTGGTCCCATGGCTACTGATCCACCTTGAGCTCTCTGATGACTCTTAGCAGAGCTTGCTTTCTTCTGTAGTGCTCTGAGACTTACAGAGGCTTCCCTCAGCTAGTCTGGAAAACAAGAGGGACCTACAAACAAGATTACTCAAAATGATGTCCCTCCATATCCTAGTGTTCTAGATCAAAGCATCTTTAAGCATCTCAGACAGTTAAGATTTACTCTTACATGTTGTGCAAAACACTGATGTAGTGCTCTGTCTACAAAAGAGACAAAATATCAACGGCCCCCTTCAACAGTGCAGCTCATTTAGTCTTTATCTACCGGCAGCCTGCTAGCCTTCAAGGGGGCAGTCGGGTTGATCCAGAGGATTTGGACCCAATGCTACTGGTTGGAATCGAAACAGAAGCATTAGTGATGGCTAAACAACACACGTCCAGAGGTGGGTCAGGTCTCCTTGTTTCCTACTCGCTCCTTGCCTTGGCCACTGCAGTTATCTTCCAGGCCGGCAACAGGTCTTCGGCACATTTGTTCACTTGCCTCAGTTCCTGGAAAAAGCTCTCTAATGTGCAAAGGCTTCACATCCTTCTGCTTAGTGGAGTTTCATTTGGCATCTAGAATCCAGAACTACTTCCACTCTACCTTCCACCTGCACCAGCGAACCCTGCTGTCTCTGTCTCTACAAAAAGAGTGCAACCCCAGCAGGGCATTCTGGATTCCACAGCAGCCGTGTGCTCCAGCCATGGCTACTGTAACTTGATTATCACATGCACCCTAGAGCAGGTATGTGTGCAAGTCTTCCAAAGAGGATCCATCCTCCTCTAAAGAGAAACACAGCAGCATGTGCCTCGGGAATGCAGACGCAGGAGTGTGGGTCAAAAAAAAAAGGAAGAGAGAGAGAGAGAGAATTGCCGCTCCCTCCAAGAGCTATCCTCAATCTTTTCAAGTAAGAATCCTACCTACCTCCCAAAGTTTGTCACCCACCAACTCTGGTTCTTTCTAAAAATCTGCAAGCTGGACAGGACCAAGGAACTCCTACAAAGTCATTCAACACACTGGCACAAAATGCAATAAACAAGGCTTGTTTGCTACCAGCAGCAAGAAAAGAACTAGAGGGTGGCACGAGACTAAGGTTTGCAATGCAGCCAAAGTCTGATGTTCAAATGCCACCATTACTCAGTGTGCTTTTGATATCTGCTGCATAGAGAAGTTGCTCACTTGATGTCATACACTCTACTCAACAAAACATAGTTTCTCTCTGCAAATTGAGCCTTGTGCGCGCACATGCGCTTGTGGTGTGGGGGGGGCATGTGTGTATGTGTGTGAAAAAAATAAAAACAAAATAAAATAAAAAAGAACAGTTACAGTCAGGCACTTCCCCAGGCTCAGCAGCTATTGCTCCAAGAGCTTCCATCATTTGTAGTCCATGAACAAAATACAGCAACACGTAGCAAACTATGTATAGAACATCAATAATTTAAAAAAAAAAAAAAAAAAAAAAAAAATCACATTCTCCATCCCTTTTATAATTGATAAGAAAAAATAACTCAGAACTAGAACATATAAAGAATGGAAAAGTGATGGCTTTTTTTTTTTTTGTTTTGCCTTTTTCTTTTTTTTGCACAATAGTTGGAGAGCACAAAGGGACCAGTAGCATTCTGCACTCCCACAGTCCAGTGAATTCACAATGTCAGCTGGAAAGTTAGTTTTTTTCTATATATACCATGGGAACAAAAAGGGGGGAAAAAAAAGTGGCTAAGCAACAAAGGAAAGCTCCAGATGAGACTGCCTTAGCTGTTTGGCAAAAATTAAGAAGCAAGGTGCTGAAGAAATGAGGCATATCCCCGTTAACTGTGAAATAAAAGCAATTTGTTAAAAATATGAAATCAACTACTCTGTGGACAGAGACATGAGACTCCAGGATAACACTGAGCACTTGCCACTCCACAGATCAGACAATTTGCAATCATTACATCATCAAAAATTAAAACTTTTTTTTCCTGTCATATTTAAAATTTCTTTGTCTTTTCTTCAGAATGAAGCCTCTCAAGGGGCCAAGAGCAGAGCAGGTCAAACCAGGTTGTACTCCTTCAGGTTGAGCTGTAGGATGGTGTCCTTGACAGCTGCAAAGACGAAACGGATGTTTTCTGTGTCTGTGGCACATGTGAAGTGAGAATAGATGATTTTATCGCTGTCTGGATTTAAATCCACAAACATCTTGAGAATGAACTCACGGGCTGCCTGTGCATCCCTCTGTGGGCCTGCAGCAAACAAAGGAACCAGTTAATGGATTTACGCTAAGTGCATCCCCCGGTTTGATCCATCACAATAATTGCTAGGGCACATTTTCTTATGGGTTACAGGGCTATAAAGGAGAAATTAAGATCATTTATGGCATAAAAGTCCCAGGATCTGAAGTGTCTTATGGTTTTCAGTTACCTAACCAAAACCTACAAAAGGCATTTGTCCAAGTCTGAGTGTTTTGACAGACACCGAGGCGTCACTTCAGCCTGTGCTTTGAAATACAGCATTTGGTACAACCCTGTATGTGCTGCGTTTGCTAGAGAGCGGTGACAGATGCTGGACATACGTAACACAATGCTCTCCTCTGGAAATGCTTCTTTTGAATATATAGATGGATCTTATGCACTGAAGGACACAAACGTATGTTTGGCAAACAAGGGTCATCTTCAGCCAACACTGCGGCCTGTCCTAACTGGCTGGTCAGCTCACAGGAGGTAAAAACTGGAGCTTTAGCCAGCATTTACTTTGTATTGCTGACAACTCCTCAGAAAAAAAGCCTCCTACTGATATTTCTTTCACAGTACTGGTGCTGTCACATTCTCCATGGCAAGGACATCTCTGGAGAGGTGGTCTGATGGGCTACCTCCCACTCACAAGCCATGCAGCATCCCTGGAGGAGCTACAGTAAATACTTATATGAAAAAGCTGAAAGTACAGGATGGCACTTCCTGATGTTGCGATCCTGTCTCCAGCTGTTCAGGTATATTAGAAGCACACACTATTTGACCGATAAGCTCACCAGCCATTCCCAGCCTGCTGTAAAAACGTGATGTTTTCTACCACTGATAATTTCAGAGTGCTTGTGCTTTCAGACAGCAGGGGGCATGAAACTCCAGAAGTGGGAGGAGATCTAATACGGAGCAATTTCATTAGTCGTTTAAAAGAAAGCTGTTTGCAAAAAGGCAATTCTTCCCTTACCTTGCTTTTTAAAGCACAAAACGACAGAGTTAATACACAAGAGCACAGCAAGAAGTGTGTCGCCTGATCTCATTCTCCACTAATTTTATTTATTGTCAGCCCTGTACAGATGTTACCAGCCAACTTTAAATGCACTCAACTGAAGGGCCTGAAATGCTATTTTGGTGATGGAATTTTGCTTCACGATGGAATTCCTGTTTCACATAGATACTGTATTTCCACAGCTGCAGATGGCGCACTAATAAGAATTTCATGCTACCTGAGGTTTTTCAGCACTGTCATTTTGACAACTTGGATGTCTGACCAGTCAGTTTCTCAAAACAAAGACTCAAGTCACCTCTTGACTAGAGAGTTAAAATGCCTGGTATACCAGGGAATTGTCATGTGTTTATGAAACGGATTATAGGCACAAGCACACAGACAGGAAAATTAGACTTCCATTATTTAATACTCTGAAGTGCGTATCTAGGGGGTGGGGGGGAGGTAATTCTCCGTCTATGAGTTCATTATTTGATCATTCGATCAGATTCCAGTTATCTACATAAGATTAAGACATTTTTGTGACATTTTCTCATTGTTGTAGGTATTCCTTCTAAAATTAAGATGTTTTCCCCATCTCTAGATCTGAGTTTTCCTTAAAAACCAAAAAAATTCTAACCAAACACCTTCACCCCTTCTTCTAGATACAGAGTGTTTATCCTTAAAAACCACTCACCATCAAACTCTGGGAAATAGTCAACAAGGTGGGAATATAGGATCTTGTCTTCCAACAGATCTTTCTTGTTGAGAAAGAGGATAACAGAAGAGTTCTGGAACCACGGATAAGTGATAATGGTGCGAAAGAGAGCTTTACTCTCTTCCATCCGGTTCTGAAATAAGAAAAAGAAAGCCTTGTTTTCACAAATGAGCACTGAGACGCCTTTCTGCTACCTGCTGCATCAATCCAGCATCTCGGATACTGTACACAGAACACTTTGGCCCCAGGTAGGTTCTGGCTCAAGCTGCAACAGTAAATGGAAAGGAAATGCAAAACCTGATGGACTCGAGTTTCATTTAACTGGCAAGCCATTTATATCAAAAGGCTTAAAAGTAATTTTAATGACTTCTAATGGCATTTTTTTAATCTATTAGCAAGTGGAAAAATTCAGTATTGCGCCTTCAAAGAGACCAGTCGCTGTCTAACAAGACAGCAGCCACAGCACAAAGCAGCACGGAGTGGAAAAGAGGAATGGGTGATTTTTAAGAGCACAGCACCTCCCAAGGCACGCAGAACTCGGCAATTTCAGAGTATTTCAGTTTTACTTGAGAAGTACAGACGATTGGAATGCACTGTACATTTTCCATTCTCAGGGACATCATGACCCATTGAGGTTCACATTCCCTTTGCAATAGGAAGAACTGAAGGCCAGAACCAACACCACTTGCTAATCCAGCTCGGCACCAAGCATTTTGGTACCAAGCTCCAAGAAGCTAGCAAGATACCTCCTTTCCTTCCACCCTCCTGCACAGTTCCCATTCTTTGGCTTACCTCGTTATCAGATTCCACCAGAACTTGGTCATATTCACTAAGTGCTACTAAAAACATGATGGAAGTCACATTTTCAAAGCAATGGATCCACTTCCTTCGTTCTGATCTTTGACCTCCAACATCCACCATTCTAAGGAAGAGAAATACATACAGTATCACAGAAGTAGCTGCAGTTCTCTATCCGGATGCAAAGAAACAGCATACGATGAGAACAAACGGGGCTCTTTACCATTTAAGTTAACCTGGCATGGGAATGTAATAATATGTGCTTGCTAACAAACCCATCAAGTTTACAAAATATCCCATTCCAGAAATATATCAAACTGAAGAGATGGCCATAGGCAAGCGATACCAAATTCAAATCCCAAACATCGGCATTACCATTTTTAGCTGCATTCTGCTCTGGTTTGCTAAGTAACAGTCCTGAGTCTGAAAAGACAAGCCTTTCAAAACTCCACTCTGTCAAATGAGCAAACTATTCTTATATTCTTACTGAGATTGTAAGATTCTTATTAAAGCATCCGCTTGCCTCAAAACTTCTCTCGCACAGAGAGCTTTTTTTCGTTATTGAACTTTTCTTAGAATGTGCTGTTTAACAGTTACGCACTTCAGCTCCTCAGTTTTAAGTCCCACCTGTGTAGTATGCTAGAATTATTTTGTCGCTCACCTGAAGTTCAATGCACCCAGCCCACCTTTGCTAAAACCCTATACACATTTCATAGGTCAGCAAACCAGAGCGGGGAAGAGTAACTTCCTGTCTATCTGTGACTGAATGGTTTAAGAGAGGATGCAGGCTTCTTTATTCCTCTCTTGTAATGTCAACACTGAAGGGCAGGGAGTATGTAAGTACCAGAGAGCTAGGGAGAAAATTGCTTTGCCATGGACAGGCATGTCATTGTGCCCTTCATGCCATGCTCGATTGCTGGCTTAAGCCTCCAAATACTGTCTATCACTACAGCAGCACGGGCAGCAAGTTTTGGTATCATCCCAAGAGCACAAGGTAGGCACAGTAAACCACCTCTGAAGGCAGATGCTAGGTATCACAAACAAGGAAGTATTTCTGCACAAGAAGTGGCCTCTTTTTGAAGGAGAAAAAAAATGGTCAAAGTTGCTTGAGCTAAGCATTCTTAAAGGGAAATACACTTTAAGTCAAGCACTGCCCAGAGCAAGCTTCCCCCTCTTCCCCTCGGTGGCTTAAGCTACCAACAGTTCACTCAGCTTCCTCACAAGCCACCACTTCAAGCTCAGATGCCAGCAACGCAATCCTTCCCAGGAAGGACACCAGCTCCTGCAAGGTTGTTAGTTGGGCTTTCAGTGTCACTGATTCAAAAGCATGTTCTGGTCTGTGACAGTCAATGCTTCAGCTTGGCATTTTCCCTTTATCAGAATAAAATGTTGCACCATCCCCATTGCGGGAGCACCTATCAGCAGATACTCCATAGCATCACAGCACACGCATCCACTCAAACCTCTCTGCTAAGCACCTGGACACCCTAAAGCAATCCAGAACTCATCCTTCCTGACACCATATCATTCCTCTCTCAGTTCAGCTGTAACATGAATACACCTTCAGTACCTGAAGATAATATTCTCTAGGTCAAAGGGGTACTCTATGATACCGGTTGTAGGAACTCTAACCCGTAGCACATCTTGCTGAGTTGGTAGATATCCTGGGGTAGCAATACGATCCACGTCGCTAAGATAGCTACAAGAAGCACAATGGAAAAAAAAAAAAAAAAAAACTACCTTAGGTTGCAGCACATAAATATACAGATTGAAACATTGCTATGCTTAGTCTTTCCCTGGCATAACAAGGAAGTAAGAAGTCACCAGAATCATTTAAAACGTGATCTGGAAAAAATAACAGGATACATCTTTGGGGAACAGTAATTCACCAGCCATCCCCTTTGGAGGATAAACAGATACGTTAAGGACAACTTTATCAACCGCGTACAGGAGTGTGGAAGACGATCTTTACTACAGAGAAAGTTTAAGTACAGTGGATGCCTTTCAGAACTGAGTCTCATCTGAGGTTTTCCATTTATAAACGAACCTATGTTACCAGACTTAGATTTTGTTAATAATAAATCCATTCAGTTACACATCCATGTACACCTGTTGGCCAAAGGACAAACCTGAAGAGCAAGAGCAACACTTCTGCTGGCTAAGAGCCAGGGCCAACACAGATGGCGTAAGGCAGAGGCTCCAGCTTCAGGTATATCCAGAAGCAGATGTGCGAACAACTGTCTTCTTCACCCACCAGAACACCTCATACCCTCATGAAAAGTAGCAAATGGTAAGGCATTTCCCAATCTAAATCTATCCCCAAATAAACATAGCTTTCCCCATCCCCAGCAAAGCTCTTTGCTTTTCTGGAGCCAGATTCCAACAAGTTACCAGGTAGCTGCTCCCACTGCTCTTTCATCTTAACTTTTCCTAAGGATACTTCTGGCTGACAGAGGCAAAGTGACTCTCTCACATGCCTATGATTTTTATCCCAATACACGCAGCCAGCAGAGACTGTGCAGCTTGTCTAAAACACTAGCAAGACTCACCCGCCTCAATGAAAAAGATAAAAGATACTTTAAATAAACTACATAGTGAAATCTACAGCAGTGTTCCTGCCCTTTGAAACAAACTCTAGACTTCAATTAAAAAAATTGGACAGGTATTATTTGTTAGACCATCACTACCATCTACCAGTGCATGCCAGTGATTACATACTTACTATTTAGCTGAGTCAGAAAGCTGATATTCTCTTCTCCTGTCATAACACTCTTGTATTCCAGGGTCATTCCACAATGTTTTAATTGCACTTACATATGGCTGCTCAAATGTCATGACCTTTTCTACATCAACTTCCCGGATCAGCACTGCATTGGCCTGGAGATTGAAGAGCGAAAAAAAAACCAAAAAAAACCCCCAAAACAGGGGAGGGAGGGTCAGGAGCAGGGGTCACAGGCAGGCAAAAAATTCTCAGATGAACTAAACCTGTACATTATGACTACACGGACCCACACACTGTTTGTGGATCAGGCTGCTAAGACCAGAGGGACAATAGGTAAACTGTACATCTAAGACATGGCAGACATCAGCAGAATTCCTCTAAAGCATCACGTGCACCTTGGCAGAATAAGCTGTACAACAGCAGCGGGTTTCACCTATCATTCGATCACCAGGTGTTTTGAAACACAGTGGTTTCCAAGGCAGCATCCACTGAGCATTCACTGTGAAGAAAGCCACAGACTGCCCAACTTCTGAAGAGGTTGAATTGCATCGGATAACAAGTTGCTATCCCAGTCTTCTTACAAAAAGAAATTTAAACTACAATTTTAATAGCAGTAGAGACATCATTTCAGCATACTTCAATCATGATCCCTTTTGAGAGAGAAAACAAAAATGCCCACCATACAACGTATAAGCAAAGGAACGACTACGGTCATGACAGCAGCCCGTGGCACCTGTGAGGTTTTTATCCACACCAAGCCACTTTCTGAAATCTTTGCGCACTTGCCACAGGAAGGGCTTTTGCCTATACCACCTATGCCAGGAAAAATAAAACACAAAGCCAAGTTCTGCATACATTCTCATAAGGAAAAGTTGGCAGATTCTATCTATCAAAACACCTCCACCGTGCCCCGGGTAAAGCACAGGCAAGGCAAGCGTCCTCACACCCTGCCTATCCTCACCACTGAGACTGCAGAACCTCCCTAAAGGCAAAACAGGCGTTCGGACTCCAGAACTCCTGGTGCACCATCCAGTCCCTATGAACAGTTACTAAAAATCAGCTCCCAGTTACTGTGTGACACAACAAATGAAATATAATTTCACTTAAAAACATTAAAGAAGCAAAACACACTAAACCCCCCAGTTTCCTGGCACACCCTCCCCATCCTCTCCCCAAGAAGCTGAAACAATTTAGATCAGATCTGGCTGAAAAATCTATTCCTGGACCCAAAATCAGTACGCCAGACTTCAGTTCAAACCACGTTTCAGTGGTCAAGACCAAAACCTTTCAAGAAAACTTTGTACCTTCAGTCAGCACCTATCAGAAAAGCTGACAGATTGCGGTAATAGTGATAACTGCCAGCAGAGGTATCTTCTGGGTCCAACATGTATTTAGTCAGCTTCAAGTTCCGATGTAAACAGTAACTCATGCAAAGAAAAGCCCGACACATTTAACAATACTGAATCCTTGAAACAAGTAAAAAGAACACCTCTCCTCCACCCTCTGTCATGTCCCAGTCCCTTGCTCCCACCACCTATATGCAGACCAGCATATAAGCCATCCTGAGAAAGCTGCTCTGTCCCTTAACACAACCAACTAAATGGAGTCAGATATCAACAAAATGTCATAAAAAGCAGTCCTTAAGCACAAAACATTTACAGGAAAGATTTCAGGAAGGTTGAGACTGCAACGCAGAAGGACACAAACAAACAGGAACTTAGGAGTCAAACCCTAGAATCCCATTGCCTAAAAACACATGCAAAAATTGTGAGAAACTTACCTTGTTCTGTTCATATTTGTACAGAATCTTCAGGGTTTCCATGGCCCTGATCATAGACTGCATGGCAGTGAAGATGTTTTGGTACACCAGCTTGGTGAAGCCTTTTTTGTCCTCTTCAGAGTAGCCTGAGCCATGAATTATACGCATTTGCTTAATGAACGTGCTTTTTCCACTCTCCCCAGTGCCTACAGAATGCAAGAGAGAGAGTTAGGAGCCATTACAAGCAAGGCTTGCTACAGAAGCAAGCAAGCTAACATCCATCACGTCATACCCTGAAGTTCCTATTACTATACCCATGTACATGTGACTTCCAACCACTTTTTTAGCTGCTTTCCAGAACACTAAAAGACAGTCTGGATGGTCCTGCTCATCCCCACTAAGAACCTAGCAGCACAGAAGGAAGACATCTTGTCCTTTACAACAGCCTTCAAAAGCAGCTCTGGTACTTATTCCAAATCTCACATTACAGCCACTCCCACACATTCTGCGTCAAAAGGCCCTTGTCCGTCACACCTGACCTATTCCCAGATACTCCAGCAAGATGCTACGATCACAGCACCAGCCAGAGAGGGCCCAGATGCACTCTCAAGTTGGCAGTACTGCAAACTGAGATGACAGCGAGTGGGCCGGGGGAAGCCTATTTGCACAGTAAAGAGCGCGTTTTCTTTCACTGTGATTTGGCACAGAATGCTCTTTACCTTACAGACTACGCGTCTTTTCATAGGAAGGAACTGAACACCACAGAAAAATCAACTGTGAAGGAGAACGGAGCTCAAGAACCTACTTGCTTATCTACCCGACATGAACAAACCAGTCAGTGCATCTGCCCGGTATCCCAAACTACTGCACAAACACAGCGGTTGCTCTTAAGGACTGGAACAATAATCACCACTGTGGCAAGATACCTCCAATGCTGCTTTGCAGCCGTGGGACATCATAGAGTTAAACATAGCAACTGGCAGGGAGAGCGGAGTAGGATGTTGCTCACAGGTGCCCGCACCCTGTCCTGGTCCCCAACAGACAGCAGGCTGCTCAGCAAGGCTCCCGGCTCCTAACCTCGCAGGTTTACTGCCCCAGGGAAGCCGTGTCTTCAGGTAGAGAGGAGGGCAAGACACAGCCACACCGATGCCCGCGCATTGGACAGTCCAGCCCTTTCCACGCCTGCTTCCTGCACCGTCAGTTGGGCAGGTCCTCCCACTCCTTACATTTATGACCCCAGAAAAGTGTCGTTTAACACGCGAAGGCCAACGGATGTTATAAAGTTCCCACTGTCCTTTTATAAGACGGTAAGTATAGAGACAAACATCATCAGATAATGTATCCGTGCTGTTACACAGCCTTGTTACATTCACGATTCGACGGGCATTATGGAGAACACCCAGCAACTTCCATTCCCTGTCTCCACAGCACCTTCTGCAGAAGGGGCACGTGGGTCAAGTCTTGCGTGCATTTCGCATACCTCCACACTTCATCCCACAAGCAACAACCTAAGCGTATACCATTGGCACTCCTGTTGAGTGCTTTGGCTCAATCTTCTAAAATTTCCTATTGATACGCAGAATATATTAAAAAAAAAAAACCAACCAAAACCCGACAGCTCTTTTTAATACAGTGGCCGGGCTCATTGACTGCTGGGAGCAACATCTAAAACACATCACGTAAGTGACAAATCCTTTTGATCTCCAGTTACAAGTGAGCATGCTGGCAGAGCCCCGGCTTTCACCGCAGGAACCACCAGGTACTCACCTCACACTAGGGGATAGATATATTAAGACAGGATCTCATTCATCACAATACACAATTACTACTCACATGTAGATTCTCAATTACTCACATTTATAGTGCCAAGCTAAAAGGCAAACAAATAAATATGCTCAAATAAAAGCAGCAAAAAACATAACTAGAAGCAGCATGTTTAAAATAAACAAACTCTCCCCATATCCAAGAACAGACAGAAATCATGTCAGCATTGTTAGAAATTAACAATTCTACACACCGGCTCAAACAGAAAGCTACACCATAAATGGGGGAGAAAACTGGAAACTGTAATCTTTTGTGGTTTCTCTCACTGTGGTGAGAAATACTTCCTCGTCTTTTACCACAGCAACCAAAACTGAGAAGAAAAAAAAAAAAAAAGTGGTGCTTCAAAGCATTCCAATAATGAAAACATAAGAGCAACCTCAGCACCAGCCTTCACTTACTTCAGAACTTAAGAGTTCACACACAGGTTCTTCCTGCACTCCATCATCACCCACTTTTTGGTGGTTTTCTTTTTGTTTTGATTTTGTGTTGGTTTTTTTTTTTCTAAAGGTGCCTCTTGCTTTTACTCAGGCCATCAACAATACAGAACAGCACCACGGCAGAACATTGTAAGCTCTGTTGGGCATGGTTTCCTACATTTATAAGATCACAGTAATGTTTTTTAATATGACCATGTTGAGACAAGGACATAATCCGAATTCACCATTTCTTCTGGCAACGCGTGAAAGCAGCAGAGTTTACAGTAAATTACTAATGACCCCCAAGTACCTGACAGGCATTTGTAAATACTTCACTTGGTCAACAGTATCCCATGCTTAATCACAAATTATTTTTCTATAAAATATTCTCCCCCCCTCCCCACCCAGTAAGAAGACAAATGACTACTTTATACCAGAGGGCAATGTCCAATACCTTGAAATTAAATTTCTTATTACCAGGTTTGTCATTGATTAGCACTGTTATTCTTCACCCCAATTTTCTGTTTCAGGCTTCAACAAGCTGTTACTAGATATAGTGACAAGACAAATTACCGGAGTTCCTACAAGGCAGAGACTGCCTCCACATGCACTCTCTTTTCAAAATTCCGAAGATTTGGGGAAGCCCTCTCACCAATACTTGTGCATGTAACAACTCCACATAATAGGAGCACGACAGAAGAAATCCCTGGACACACACTGCCTGCCACAGCTGAAGGTAGGCAGTGTGCTCCTTCCAGTGAAAAGCATCCAGCAAACACATCCTAAAACTACAAGTGCCACTTTCCCAACATAAACGGCCTCATATAGATTTGGTTTTTGTAAACCTGATGCTGAATCTTACTTAACTGTATCTTTTAGAAAAGCAGAAAGGATTCTTGAGCAATTTGAATTATTTCTAAAGTGAAATCTTTAGATCCGGTGGGATCTTCTTAACCCAGATCTAATCTATAGTGCCAACCTATTTTGAAATAGCTGCTTCCGTGGGACTGCTTTAGGGAAGCACAAGAGCAGGAGACACGCTCCCTAGGCTACCAAAAGCCTGACAGAACCTGACACAGCATCTTCAAAGAGCACAAACATCAAGCCTTTGATTTCACCTTTCAACTAAAGAACAGGAACGTGCTAATCGCTGGGCATTCATGGCGAGAAGGGAAGCCCTGGCCTTCGCTTAATGGTCATCACTACGCAGCAATGTCGGTATTGGAGACCTCCAAAGGACCGGGCAGACAGGGCCTTGCTCCACTTGTGTAAAGTTTTACAGTTCTTTTCGAAAGGATCCCCCTAATTCGTCATTGTACTTTAACGGCTTGACAACTTAGGACAGACCCCAATTGACTAAATTCAACCCAGCAGATCCGCTTCCCATTTCCGCTTGAGATGAGCCAGTATTTAAGACACAAAGCAGAATACATACGCAAGCAACGGTAAATCACAGTACCCATGAAAACTGTAACTGAAGTTTAAATGTGAGGGCTACCTGGACTTGAGCATCAAACTCACTGCTGAAGAAGGATGCAAATGCCTGAAGTCTTAGCTAGCTGCTCTTGTAACTGACTCCGCATCCCTATAAACCTTACCTAAGCACAGAATAGTTATCCAGCTGCACAACCACAGAACGCTGCTAGGTTTCCATCTGAACACCTGCATCCTTATCGCAGCACAGGTGATCTCCACCTCGGAAGGTAATGCTCAACACTATAGCCATTTCCTCATCGGAGACAGAACTCGGGAATTCTTACTGCTTCCTCTCCCTTCAGATTTGCTGCACCAAGCTCCTAACCCTGCCAGCCCTCCCAGGGCCGTGCAAGGGGAACTCTGTGGTTTAGGAGCTGGAGCCCAGTTCTTCCACAGATATTCACTCAAGGCCCAGAAGTTCATTGACAATACCGAAAAGCATCAGCTCCCATCAGCGCATTTTCACACGCTAACAAGAGCCAGCACACTCTGGGAAGCATTTCCTCCAGACAATTTTCACGCATGTGCACGCGTGCCTGCCTTTAGAACCAGTGATTTCAGCTTCATAGTTCCTGCTTCTGTCAAAATCCATTTTGACAGAGACGGCATCGTAAAAAA